ATTTTAATTTATATTGTAATTTTTATTATATATATATATATATATATATATATATATATATATAGTAGAACCCCTATTAATGGGACATCTTAGGGACCAAAAAATAGGGGTGTCCCCTGAATAAGGATACCTCTATTAAGAAGAAACTAACCAAAAACGTGAATGTCCCCTTAATAGGTAGTCATACAATGAGGACATAACTTCTTTAGTTTTCCTTGAACTATGATAATTTCGGGGTTTCAAAGGCCTATTTAATCGATTTTATAGTCTACTAATGTGCAAAAAATATATTTTTTTTTCTCCCTGATGAACTGTGTTTTCTCCCCAACCGGGGGTGGGGGTTCACCTCTCCACACGGGGAGGGAAGCCCTCCACAGTGTATGTATTGGACATACAATCTTCACAAGTTCTATTTAATTATTTTTCCCCCAGGCCGACTGTACAGTGACGGGTACAGTGAAAGAATTCAATTTTGAGGTTGAAATGCCTAATAGTGAGTTACAATCTCAAGTTCTGGAAATCCTTGACATAACAAATGAAATAAACGACAAGCTGGACGATGTCAAGGGGTGTACATGCACAAAATGTAAGTATGTACATTAGTATAAGCCTAACATGCTTGCCAGGTGTCAATAAAATGGCAGGGCATCTGCTGACCTCATGATCTGTTTATATAGGCCTATCGGAGTCGGAAAGGAAAAGTAGGCCTACAGCCGCCAAGATAAATACTACTTGAATTGGAATCTTACAGACACATTTTTAATATTTATGGTGATTGTCACGAGAATAAAATTATTATATATATTTTATTTATGATAACTGACCTTTCCAGTGTGTCAATCAAACTTATCAATTGACTAATTAGAACAGGGATACTCGCGTGTTCTACAAAAACACGTGTTTACGTACATTACTCTATTGCTTTGTAGGACCATAGCAACGATATCTAAGGGGCGGGGCTTAGCGGAAGCTCCATTAAGTTCTCTTTTCATACTTAGGCCATGTAAAAAAAAGTTGTTGATCGTCTGTTTTAAAAATAAAAAGTCGTAGGGAGGGAGGTTTTTTGATGAAAAATAAAAAAATTGGTCTGGTGATTTTTTTTTTTTTTAGTAGGGAGGGGACGATCAACAACTTTTTTTTTTAACATGGCCTTATGACAATCGTACAAAAATATTTCTAAATTCGACGAATATACGTGAATTGTTAATGCAATGTTCCTTTATGAAGATTCATTGATTGGACATCTCAAATTTATTATAATTAATTTAAAATTTTCACTTTTATACTTTTGACGACTATTAATTAAGGAATACTTTTTAAATATTTACTGATAGGCCTATTTTGGCAATTCCTGTATTTTTTATTTTATTTTTTTTTGTAAACAATATTATTTTTATTTCAATCTTTTAATTTAATTTTATATTTGATGTTAACTTGTCGGAAGAAGGAAAATAAAATACAGTTATGGATGTTATCATTCCAATTCTGGTAGCCTAAGATTTTAAAAGTGTACTGTTTGCACGAACAAATCTGAGTTCTTTCGAAACCTACTTAAAAAGAATTAGTTGACAAAAGTTGTTGAATCAAACCACAGTCCATACCAATGTCTTTGTTCACGTTGAATTCGGGTTTCACAGAATTCCCGTTGAGCATCATTGATCAATAAACGTTTATACGTCTACTCATGTTAAAGTTTAAATTGCTCTTCATGTATGACATCAATATGTGATGCAAAATGTCACGAGGGAATTTAAAAGGAAGATCATATAAATATATATTTATTTATTTATTCATTTAGGGTCTGTTTCTGCTGAGCAAAAAACACGTATTTTTAAACGGTTATCAAAAATACGTGTTTTTTCCCAGCAGAAACGGTCCAAAAAACAAAAACACGGTTAGTAATGCGTTGTAAAAATGTGTTTTAACACGCATTCGTTTTAGGATCGATGACGTTCAGAACAACCTCTTTGTTGGTTCGATTGTTCGTTTGCGGGAAATACGGGGCGAAGAAAAAAATGAAACCAACAGGATGACATGTGTTAGTCTTACCATAATTTTTGTCCATACAACGTGTGTTGTTTACTTTTTTCGCAGCGCTGTAGCTGACAAGAATTAAGGTCAACTTCAATTTCCGTAGGTGATCGTCTATAAGCTCCGCCCACCTACCAATCCTCGCGTTACCGTGTTTTATTATTAGTTGCACTTTTCACTAGAAACGAGTTCTAAAGGCATTTAACCGTTTAAAAAAAACACGTGTTTGGCGTTATTCAAAAGAAACATGTCCTTACTTACTTATTAATCTATTTATGCATTTGCATGTAACTATTTTAAGATAAACTATAAAAATATAAGCAAATACATAAAAGAGAGTTAATCCTATTTTATAATAGCGTTGCAGTTTGGTGTACAAAAAGTGTGTAACGTACCGGTACTTTCTAATCATTAACGTTCGACACGCTGCTGCAACGTTTCCATAACGATATTTTCTGAGATAACATAAACACAACTTTCGCGAATGTTATAATGACGTTTTGTGTTTGCTGGGATGAAATGGAATAATTATAAATAAAATCTTATTATTACAGATCACGAATCAGTATTTCATGTTTCCGATGGCAGATATACGTATAATTTTGAAGACGCGAAACAGGCATGTATTGACCGTGGCGCCAAGATCGCTACCCTGGCTCAACTGCAAGCAGCGTGGTCAGCTGGACTGGACGTCTGTGCGGCTGGATGGCTATCCGACGGTAGCGTCAGATACCCGATTCGGATGCCCCGCACAGGATGCGGTGATACCACTGCCGCTGGTATCCGCAGTTGGGGTTACAAACCAAAAACTCAGAAAGTAGCTGATGCCTACTGTTTTAAAGTTTAGTGTTAAATAATATATGTATTTAGGTCTATATACAGTCGTATCCATATGATTTCACTCAATTAAAGTAGGCTATAGACATATGCATACGGAAATGTTTTCTCTCTTTCTTTATTGTACTATAATTGATTAAAATGTATCTTTTTAGGAAAACAGACACACTTACAAATGGATTGGGTGCTTTTTAAAAATTTATTTAAAAGTCGGAATTTTGTGGTACTGTACAAAAAATGTTCCCGCATCTAATACATATAACTAAAATGCTGGGTCTACATTGTGAATCATTACACCTGATGAAGCCAGAACAGAAGAGCTGAATATTAAATAATTCAAGTTAGTCAATAAAATGATTTTATCTACTATTATATACATAAAATTATGCAACTGTGCGTGGCGTCACAATAGCGCTTAGGTAAACCTTTTTAAGTCCTGCAAAGTTATTGCTGTACATAGTACGGAGACAAAAAAGCTAGCACGTAATAAATTCATAATAAATCATCAGCAGTGTACCTATTCTGCTATTAAAATTAATACCATAACATATGTGCAGTTGGGAAATAGCTTTCATTCCCTTTCTCGAGTGACACATTTGAATTAAGTCACTTCAACTATAAGGTAGGCTGCCTACTACAGCAACAAACCCCACACCTTTCCCATAGGCCTACATACTGTGGGTCATAGTGACTGAAGCGGCACCGGGATCAGGATTTGCCCGACTAGGGGTGGGAGGTTAGGGAGATGTTCCCGACGAGAGAAAATTGGCGGCGTCGCTCAAAATCTTGTAAAATGTGGTTCAGGAGGCGAAAAATATGACAATGTAAGGCTTATTTAATCGATTTAGAATCTACATGTAGAAAATACGAATTGTTCCAACCGCTTTTCCTCGTTGGCGCCAACCCCGTGACTGATGTGTTCTGCAACTACAACTTTAATGAATCGATAACTATATTTACCAATCGTGAAAAACATGCGTAACAATAAATCAAATCTACAAACAATGGACACAACGTGAGGAATGGTAAAGATTATATACTATCACCTACGAAGAATATTACTTAAATAAGCATTAGAATAATTATTTCATAGGAGTAATGTTTTTGCCCAACCTGACGTGTTACGGTAGCCTACTGAATACTCTTTACGTTCCTAAACACTTCCTAAACACAGTCTGTGTCAGCCTGATAACGATTAAGTTTGAACATCCAAAAATCATTTGACAAAACGAACAAAAAAAGGAAACACAATGAGGATAAAAAAAAAAGTAAAAATTTTAATCTAAAAGTTTACGGCAGTCAGCAACCAAAATAGGAAATCTTTACCAACAAAAGTAAATTTACTAAAGAAACAGAATCGAAATTATCCCAAAATTCAAGATTCGGCCTAACTAAGGATTACATAAAGAAGGTTAAGCCTTACTATCATTAATTTTGAAATGCCTCCAAAGAAAAATGTACCGTAATTTGCTGCACTTACTAGAAACAATAAAATAAATATGAAGACTACAAAAAGTTAAAGAACTGTCAAAAAACGTCATGAGAGTTATGTGGGATAAATTAAAGAATAATGTATTTTTTACATGTCAGTAATGGTGCTGACACACAAAATTTACGATTCTTCTGCTTTTGAAACCGGTGGACTTGTGGGAATTGTCACTGTTTTTGTTACATTGATATTGATTTGATACAGTATCATTATCAATATTTCTATTGTTTTTATATAATGCATGCTATATCTGTTAACTGTCGATATTATTATGGTCAATGCCATTCCCTTGATTTGGTAATCGCATAATTCCAAGATATATAGCTTCAGCCAAGGAGTGGAAGGTCACCAACACACCACAGAAATTAGGCTTAACAATTATCACATCCTGTTAGCCCTCCAAGAGTTCTTTGACTTATAAGTAAAAACAAATAGACGTATATATTATACTGTATAATCGAAGTTAATAGGGGATGTTACACGCGTCTCTATATGCCTATACTAAATACTATCGATCGGACAAACACACATCGGAAACACACTTCTGGTGATCTGAATCTTGGAGCTACAACTTCAAACAGTTCGATAGACCAGTTGGACCAGTTAAACCAGTTTGGGAGACCAGTTGTACCAGTTGAAAACCAGTTAGACCAGTTGAACTGGTTTCTACTAGAATTTATACCTGGGAATACAAAGGGTTGCAATTAGTTTAAAAATCGATATATAAACATCATATTTCTTGAGAATTTCTATAGAAAATAATGGAAGAAAATAATATGATATGCAGGCCTACTATATCTCTTTGAAAGGCGCATTATAAATTCTAAATTATATATATTTAAATATGATTATTAGCAGCATCGTTATTAAGTACAGAGTATTAAGTAAATCATCTATTCAACCTTCAAACATACACTTAATAAATCATTTACATTACACTATCACAAAAACAATACTATTTTCTATGCAAATTGGTACACAATAAGTAACCAATTAAGAAAATTATTTGTTTATTATTTTATTCCAAGATAAAATATAAATTACTTCTTGAACTGCTTATACGGGTTTTATGTATCTAATGCCAGACAACAAAAAAAGAAATAACCCTCCATGATAGAACATACACATGTCATGCTTGCTGATTTTTTGTTGGCTTGTTACCATAGCTAAATTATATAGTGGCGGATTCCGAATTTCAAAATAGAAGGGTTCAGCGAGTTTATGGGACTTATAGATGCCCCGGAAATAGCATTCTGAGATATTAATGTAATTTTTTTTCTCCTACTTAAAAACATGTTTTGACAAATTAACTGGGGAGGGGCCTCCCACTCCAACTTGACTCTGCCAATAGCTGAATTATAAATATGACTCACTTTTTGGTCTCCTTTCAAGCAGAGCAGATCTTGCTTTCCACAATATTTTCATACACCTTTCGATTTTTGACCAACAAATCTCCTTAAAACTTCACACATTCTTTAACAGACTATATAGGCCTATATTTGCATTTAATTTGTTGTTAAGTGCCTTGATGCTCTGTTGTGCCTGTTTCTCAAAGAAACGCAAACCGTATTTTTTTTTTTTTTTTTTTTTACAACAGAAGGCTCGTAAAACTATTCTTTCTCTCTCTTTTCTAATTTTTGCGGATGTGGAATGAGATTCCTATTTCTATATAGACTTGTGAATTTTATTCAGCATTTTTTGTGCATTCTATGCCTGAGTACAGTACTACCCTTTTTCATCATGTTTTTTGACTTTTTAAATATTAAAACTTTTGTATACAGTATCCGCACAAGATTGAAGGTCTTTATACAGTATTTTTTCAAATTTTCCTTATCTTTTTGACAATCTGCCAGAATTGTGCTAATTTATTTTGGTTATTATTTACGTGATATCTAGTATGTTGTTCTGGAAAAAATGAATGAGTGATACTAGACAATAACACAGGAAATGATTCTTTTTCTCTTACAATAAACTCCAGCATGTTAATACTAATGATTGTAGTGCCTTTCTCCAGACACTTCTATTAGCAGTATTGGTTGTCTTTTCTGGGGCGATCATTATAACGATCTTACGTTTCTGATCTCCTATCCCAGGATTTTCCCAAAGGTGGAAGGGGAAATATCCTCGAATAGACTAAGTGGGTGTGATCGAGCATCGCTCAAAATTTGTCGGGAGTGGTTTAGGTGGTCCAGAAATCTATGACAATTCTACTAAATAATATATGTAAAATATGCATAGACTCCTGATTGTGGTTTTCCGTCTCCCCCCACCCCCCAACTCACCACTAGCACCACCCCTGGGTTTTTTCTGTATCTATCTACAGTACCTCTTTTTGGACGTTCTTTCCCATATTATTATGTACTTGTACAAATAAAAATTATGACATTGACACTTTGAAATGGTCCCATTCTTATATATTTTCAATAAATAAAAGATACATTTTACATTATGTAAAAAAATTGATTACATGATTTTTCTTTTTTTACATTGGAAGCCTATTGGTCATAAACATCCGTTATTGTTTTTTTTTTTATGAAATGTTACAAATATAAATACTACTAAACTAAACTACTCAGTAAAATTAAATAAATATATTGTACTGTGAAGTACCACTACAGTGGTTAGGATGCATGCATTATAATATTCATTCTGTAGAAAATATCAGAATTTTTGGTCATGAGTCGCAACAATCCATAAGCTTCACATTGAGACTTGCACCCTTGGTTTGGATATTTTTTGGTCAAAGTATGTACATGTGAAGTCTGTGTAAAACTCCCTAAATGGTCAAATCCCGGGGAGCTCACTTGCATACCAACCAAACAAACAGGGGTGTGTCACAGCCACTTCAAGATATGAGACACTTGCGCTACCAGTCAGTATTTAACTGACAATTCTTATGAACTACCTTTACCAAAATCGCACTGTGCTCTAAAATACGACAGGAAAAAGGTCACTCAATAGTACAAGAGAGGGCGCAATATTGACTGGTTTCCGATGGCAAAAAGCGTTCTGTCTGACCGCGATCTCCTGGCTGTACCAAAGATAGGCTTAGCAAGGGGCTTACCGGCTTAGCACCCAGTCTAGCTTGAAATTCCCGCTAACATATTGCGAAAAATCGTGGCAATTTACACAGAATAAGCCAGGGACTTTGACCACCAATTTCACCAAGGTTATTTCCCACACTTGCACTACAAAGTCCTCGCAAGTATACCCCATAAGTGCTGAAACTCCCTGCCACCCCCCCCCCATATTTCCCACACTTGCGCTACAAAGTCCTCAAAAATATACCCCATAAATGCGCACCTCCCCGTACAGAAATATTTAAGAGTGAGCCCCCGGAGGTAAAATTTCCCTAGCCTTGCAGTAAGTTTTAACCAAGCGAATCGTGCCAAGAATGAAACACTTTTTTTTTTTTGAAGCAGGAATGTCCATTGTGAGGAACACAATTCCATTACATCAATATCCTCCTCAGTGGCAGTATTGTGCGTGTCAAAAATGTTATCATTCATTTTGTGTGCCCAAAACCTGGGCAAATAGCAGTACATTTTAACCTAGGTAAAGTTACCATTCATCTTGGTCGTAATTACACAAATACAATCCAATTACAGCTATATCTTTATAGTGTTCACATAGCTGCACCGTTTACTTGGCAAGTGTACTCGTAGTTGTTACATTCCTTTTTAAATATCCGTCTCTTCAGGTTGTCCATCCAAGGCAACTTAACAGCAGGGCACTCATTTCGGGAACGTTTTTATCCCTCTATAGCATCGACATTCTACATGCCGTGCGCAACAAAATATGCTCAACTGATTTAGTCGTCACTCAAAAAAAGCGATGCAACAAAAAACTGTTAGTGTTAGGAACACAAAAGAACATTAACAACACCAACATGTCTCGATTGCTTTCAGAAAGGTGCCGTTTCAAACAGAGGCTAATGCCTTTAAAATTCAACATTCCAAGGCCCCTGTCCAGACTATCAAATTTTATTGACAAAAACATGTGACATGCCTAAATATGGTCGTGATGACATCACATCATGACCATATATAGTCACATCATGAATTAGAATACAACATTAAATTTCATAATCTGGACAGAGCTTATGCCATAAACTTTCACCATTTTAAACATTAAATTAATCAATGAGTTCGTGTGTGGTGTTATTTGAGACTTCTTATGTTAAATGAATAAATACCTGTACCTGCACAACTTTTTGTTTTATGCACATTAGTCCATGACTGTTAAATATAAGACTGGGATTCTTTTAAATTTATATTTGCTTTAACCTTTCATTTAGTAGTAGGTCAATTTTGGTGAGCCATATTGCATTTTCCAGGAGCACATAACAAGCTCTTGGTCAAAAGACATAAGAATAGATACTCTGAAGTGACGAAAATAAATAAAATTGTAATTAACACCAGAACATATATGGTACACATACACTAAAAACTGACGGCTTTACTTACAACTAGTATCAGATTTTCAATGCCACAGATAGGGTCAAAGGAATATACGCACATTCTATATTGGCATGCGGAGATGAGTGTCATTCTGTTAAATTGCCTCAGTCCATCATACTTCTTCATCACAGAAAGGAAAGTGTACATGACCTTTGAACCTATAGGAAATAAAAGTAAAATAAATCATTGGGCTTTAGTAGAGTAACTACTGGGCTGATGAGGGAACCCACAACAGCCAGAGTAAAGCTGCACCCTTATGGTGCATTAAGCAGAACATGAAGAGATAATCCCCTACAATTTTTCCAAATAGGGGACTGCAAGAAAGCAGCTATAAGTCAAGCCATATACAGGACAACCAACTTATGGAAATCAGCAAGTTTAGTGAGCTGGCCGAGAAGTATTGTTCCTGCTGCTTGTGTTGAAAACCCTGGTTCAAACCAGGCCAGCCTCAGGTTTTGATAGGAGCCTGATCGCTAGGATCCTTAAATACCCTTGCATGAGAGTTATGCGGAATAAAGCTATTTTCTAAATGCCAGCCCTGGTGATGTAATGTGGCTGCTGCGGTTCCCTGGACGCCCTGCCAAAATTTCCAAAGTCAAATAATTGGTAAAGGAATATCAGATCTTATAATACATTTCTTAGCCAGTAAAGATCTGAAATTTTGGTGAATCTGACCTTTAACCCCAGAAAATTCAAAAAGAATCTCTACTCTCTAGACCCATTAATGAGATTCATGTTATGGGGCAATTACTTTTTTAATGTGAAATATTATAAAACAAAAATTAAGAGTGCATTTGTACTTGTGTTGGTCAAGAAGACGGTAGTTGATGTTCAACGATGCTATATCCCGCATTTCCTCTTTGGACAACTTGAAGTCAAAGACATGAAAGTTCTCATGGATGTGTTTTTGGTTAGTACTCTTTGGTATAACAGCCACGCCTAACTGGAGTTCATAGCGAAGTACTACTTGGAATGGACTCTTTTTGTGTTTCAAGGCAATACTCTTGACAGTAGGATTTTCATTTAGAGGTACTGGCGCCGGAGGCTTTGGGCTGTGAATGATTAAGAAAGAAATTTTGTACGATTAGTTCATAATATTTGCAAAATACAGGATGGTTTAAACAAACACAACCCTTCCTTATGTTTATAATTAAAGGTGACTCATGAAATGATAAACTAATAAATAATATACAGCAAAAATGCTAAATAGAATCCACCTAACAAGACAGGGGCCACCTCTCCCTTGTATTACCAACTAATGTAATAATATTTTTGTCCAATATTTTTTACATTTTGTATACATTAATATACTGTGGAAATGCTAAATAGGATCCATTTTGTATACATTAATTCAAACAAAGTAAATAAATGTTTCAAATGTTTAATGTAAAACCAGTACGAACCACTGATATCATATTATTAAATATTCAAATACTGTAGTTTCATCTGGTTTGCTTAAATATTGTTGTAGAACTGTTTAAATCGTTAATACACCAAACAAAATGGATGTCAACTTACTGCTAGCTCGCATAGTGGATGGTAGCACACATAGTGAATGGTAGCTCACGTAACCTGATGATGTCGTGTTGAAAACGTCAACAAAAGCTTGCACTAAGTTAACATTCATTGTGTTTGGTATATTAACAATTAAAACAGTTCTACAACAATTATATTAGTGGTTGATTACTATATCAGTGGGTGATACATCCCTTAGTACAACACTTTCTTGCCTCCAAAAAAAGAAATCCTACCTTTAACCTTGCACTCAAACTATACTACAGCCACTTTGGCCGAGTGTAGTCTCTTTCTGTATATTAATGCTGATATTATGGTGAAAATGCAGAGAAGGATTAATTTATTATTGGGCAACTTTGGACACATGGCTTTGGAACTTACAGTGGTTGACCTCCCCAGGCCAATGGTGAATAGGCAGTGACTACAATATTCCTCTTTCTGCAGAACTGCAGAAGATCTGATTGTGACAGGTAAGGATGCATTTCTACCTGTACGACTGACAGTGGATGGCGTGCAACAGCTAGAATTCGCTCAATTTGCTGGATATTGAAGTTTGAAACACCAATTGATTTCACTAGACCAGCATCCACAAGTTCCTCCATCTCCTGTAAACAAAATCCAACAGGAAATATAATGTGATATGTACAGTAGTGGATCCAGGAATTTGAAACAGAGGGGCACCAGGGACGGACCTCAGGGACGGACCTTCACAGACAGTGTCCACCCATCTAAACCCCAGCATTGTTGGGGCTGAGGAAAAGAAATTTTGATTATGCCATCTCTAGATGGGTGGAATTGGCACCCTCAGACTTAATTTTGATTATAATTTATTTTTTTCACCATTTTATGAAAAATTTAGGTGGGGGGGGGGGGAGAGCGGGAGATGTCCGCCAACTGATGCCAATAGGTACCTGTAGTACGTCTACATTATGCTCAGTGTCCTGTCGTGACAAAATGTGTCTTGTACAAAAAATGAAATACGAGTTATTGATATCAAGATTGATGACCATATAGGCTTTATTTTGATCTTTGAATCAGGTTCCTACAGAAGCTTGAATACAAAAACAGTAAAATCATTTTCAAATTCAAAAGTCTTAGTGAAGAATCGCCACTAAAGATAAACAACTGATAAATTTTTGTGTTGGTTTCCTATAAATTCTGAAAAAGAGCTCTACAAAATGGCTTTAAAAACACTTTTAACTATTAATGTAAATCAACTCAGATCATTTGTTATTGTGACGTATACATATTAACCTCATCAGAAATTTTGAAACCAAGTATTTGTCAAAATATCACTTCCTACATATTTTCTAGAATATTTCAAATTAACCTGCGTACAAGACTCATTTTGTAACGACACCTCTGTCTGCAGTCCAGTTTACCCTAGTTTGCAACCTAGGTGCCTTTATTTCTGCCCTCCTAAATTCTTCAAGGTGCCCATATCATCGCTCACATCATGAACTAACACAATTAAATTCAATTGTGTTAGTTCGTGAAATCAAAAAAGCATCAAAATATGCGCTGTTGTCGTTTTGACGCGCTACTGTGATTTCACGAAACGAACTAACACAATCTACTTTGATTGTGTTAGTTCGTGATGTGTGCGACGATATGTGGCCCAGAGTGTCCATATGAATGCAAGTACCTTGTTGTGCAGACTGATACTAGGTATGCATTCTTACCTTCCATGTGTCCACATAGTCAACATCATCAAAATATGGAGTATAGTCATCAACATCTGGGTAATGCTGTCTGGGGTTGCTATTAAACTGGGAAAAAAGAAAAAAATACATATTCATGTAAAAAAAAAGCTAATGCATTGTAGCTCCACCAAACAATTACTTATGTAAATTAATTTATGAATAAACATTACCTTGAGTCCTGTTGAGCTGTGAATTAAGTAAAGGTCAACATAGGTCATATCTAGTTCTTTTAGAGACCTGTGAAAAGCTTTGCTGACTTGATCATGGCTGAGGAAGTTTCTCCATAACTATAGGGAAAAGGAATAATAATAGTTGTAATAATAATACAAGTAAACATTTTCAATGAAAGGTAAAGGAAGAATTATTTTAATAATAAATACAGTACAAGCCACAATAGAAAATCATTTTTAAAATATGTAAAATATGTTAACTTTCAAAGGTAAATGTTTCTAATAAAAATAAAGTAAATCCAAGTTAAAAACACTGAATAAAGTGAAAAAATTAACATTAATACTTAAAATTTATTTTTATGTAAAAATGTTTACATTATAGATAGTTTTTGTAATTTTAAAAAAATAAGCGTTAGGGGTATTTCCTTTTCATTTAATAGAACAAATTTTGTGTTTGATAAGCATAGTTAAATTAAATAATCTTCAATCTATTAAAAGTATGATTTTGTCCAAAAAAATGAATATCAAATAATTAGAGATTGATTTAGACTTAAGAAGTATTTAATAATGGGAACATTCTGAAAATATTAATCAGTCTTTAGCATTGTCCAGACACGTTTGTTTGTTTGTTTTGTTTTTTTTTGACAAACACATGTGACACTCCTAAATATGGTCATCATGGTGCCTCATCATGACTATATACTGTATGGGCATACAACAGTTTGTGTCAAAGAAAATTTAATAGTTTAGACAGAACTTTACTTTGGTAACAATAAACAAATCTTCACGAGCAACAGTTCCATCTTGAATTTTTTCTTTGACAGCGCAACCAACATCAGCTTCAGTGTTATACATCCAAGCTGTATCGATGTGACGGTATCCGAGACTGATAGCGTTCCTAATTGCAATTGCTAACTTTCCATCTGACCCTTCCGAAACGTACTAGTAGGAAGTAAAATATTATTGCATCATTTACAAATATTAATATAATAATAATAATATTATTAGATCCATTATATTATTATTTTCTTTCAGCAGTGTTTAAAATTAAAATAGATATAAATAATAAGAATTTTCTTAAATCTTACTCCATGATGGCTCCTCCAAAAATCAACTATCTATAACTACTACCACCATCTAGGCTTACTTAATTAATACAGCTAGGCCTATACACTATTTATAGTGTAAAAAAGGCCATCATAGGTCCTCGCACTTGGGCTAGCACTAGGCGTACTGGGGCTACCTCTAAGCTAGTACTATTAGTACTAGCCTAGAGCTAGCCCCAGATGGTATAGTAGGCCTACTAACATCACACATATGCCCAGGTGGGGCCTTGGAAAAAGCAAATAGCAAAGAGGAGATGTATGTGGGGGTGCGTGTAAGCGGCGAACTTCCTCCTCCTCTCTCCTAGACTAGGGCCTATCCCTAAAAAAGAGGCTGAACCTGGAGCCTAGGAAGTAATTAATAAGTTTTAGTGATTAACTAACCTGGTTATCAATGAAAGTTCCAAGCCCAATAGTTGGGATTTTACCTCCATTTGGAAGTAATATGTACTTCAAAACCAAACTCCTCTCGTCCATCCGGCGCTTTCTCTTTCGAATTGAGTGAAGTGACAGCAATGATTCTAGAAATACAAGTTAGCAAGTTAGAGCACTCGCATAGCAAAAATGAGGCGGAAACAAAGATCTTATAAACACAAGATAGCGTTCTCCGGGATTTACG